TGGGAAAAGTTAAATGACGGCCTCCGGAGAGGAGTCTTTCCTCTGAACTGGGGGTGGAGGGGAAGCGTCTATGCCCAGAAGTGCGGTCTGAGCCCTCGTGACACCCAAGAGCAGCGTGGGCCTCAGCACTGAGCTGCCTGCGGCTTCCTCCGGTCGCACGCGTAGGATTTCGGCAAAGAGAAATCCAAGCCCTAACTGGACACAGGTGCATGCACTCCCGGCACAAACCCCTTGGTATCCCTGCAGCGTGGACGAGAGCTGCACTGCGCCCGGCCCTGTACACGCAGAACAGAACCACCCGCGGTTCCCGCGTCCTTCCGAGCCCTGTAGAATCCAGATCCCCAGCTCAGTATCTTCTTCCCCCTCCCAGTCCATCCCCATTTCATCTGTTAACTGGTTACGCTTAACATTTAACCTGTTTGCTAGTTAAATGGCATTTCACACTGTAGGCCAGAGGTGGGCAATCATTTTTGCCTGGGGGCCACTTGAAAATTTTGTCAAGTAGCCCGGGCCACTCCGGAAGCGGTGGAGCCCCTTTGCCCCCCCTTCCCACTAGGCACCCATACCCTGGAAGGGGCTTGGCACGCTCCCCCACCCCCAGGCCGATCAGAGCCTGGGGCAGGTGAGCGTTGGAAGCCTCCTCCCACCCTGAGAGGAGCACGTGGCACTTTGAAGTGCCGCAGGCTCCTTGCAGGGCTGGGGCAGGGTGAAGGAAGCTTCATTCAGCTCCCCTGCCCCTGACTGGCCATGGGGAGCCCGCCACGCCTCCTCTGCTCTCCCCCCTGCCCTGCGAGCAGCACGTGGCACTACGAAGCGCTGCGCGCAGGGCTGGGGCAGAGCGGAGAAGGCTTCGGTCACTCCCCCGCCCCCAGACCCTAATTGGCCCGGGGGTAGGGGAGCAACAGGGCCTCTGCGGGCCAGATCCGGCCTGCGGAGACCCTTTCGTCCACCCCTGTTGTAGGCCCACTTGGTGGGCTGGGTTCTCCTTCCCCTCGTTTGCAGAGGTAGAAGACCCAACAGAAAAACACCAGGCAAGGTGCTTTAAACACCGAGTCCCTGGCACCCCAGGCAGCAACTGGCCCTGTGTGTGCGTTTGCCAGCTCTGCACTCCCCAGCCCTCTCTCCAATTTGCCATCCTCAGTCTGCAATGTGTGTTCCTTCAATGACACCTGGGCTGAAGGTTCATTGGAGGAGGAGGAGGAGGAGGAGGAGGAGGAGGAAGCACACACGTCCGCTCCTTCCCCCCCCGCATGTATCGCTGCTCAACCCGACTTGCCATTGGCACTGATTCTTTGGCATCGCGCAGACAGCTGGAAGCCAGCGGGGGGGAGGGGAACTCTGTCCCCTACTGCGAGCCCCTGGCAGGATCCGGGAAGGCCAGCTCCGAGTGCCGGATCGGCCGTTTCCCCTGGGCACCGCTCCACGGTGAGCACGGACACCACGTCCACGGAGAGCAGAGGCAGGCTCCCTTCATAAGTCACGTGCCATATTTGGAGCAAGCTCAGCTGTTTCCTTCCCCGCCCGTTGGGAACAAGGCGCTTGGATTTTAACTCGGCTCGTTCATCCAACAGAGCCGGGTCTAGGCCCTGGATTGGGCTCTGTGGAGAGAGCCCTGCTGCTTTCCCTCCACCCCCAAGACAAGCGATAGCCAGGGCAGGCTTATGCTTGACGTGAGGGGCTGCAGAGGGGTTTGGTTTGCCACACTAAGGAGATCCAAGAGCCTGGGCTAATGAAGTTGCCCTTTGGGGACTGGCTCAGCCTGTCTATTCACAGCAGAAAGCAGCCGCATGGCAGCCAAGCACGTGAAGTGTGTGGTCGGAGGCGGACGGGCACACGGCAGCAGGACATCACAGCTGTCTCAGAGGACTAAGATGGGAACAGGAGTCTCCAACGAGTCAAGGGCCGGCTGCACCTCCGGCAGAGGGAACGCTAGCCTAGCAGGAGAGCACGGCTGGGTTAGGCAGAGCTGGTGGGTGTCAGATGCAAGCCTGCGTCATTCACTCACTGTCCCCACACTTGGCCAAGCCGAGGCCCACCAGGGGCCGTCCGGCCAAGGCTCCACAGCCATCCAGATGTCTCCGTTCAGCCCCCTCTGTATCCCCCCCCCAGCAGTAGCTGCTATTTATCAGCAAGCCAGTTGCTAGGCACTGAGGAAACATCACCCGCCCTGCTGGAAGCCGAAAAGCCGCGCTCAGGGGAGGATCAACTCTGAGTCACAGCTTTGCCCGACAGCTGATTGCTGAGGCTGGAATCTTGGCCAGAGCTATTCGCAGCAACGCCCATGCAGGGAGAGGGCGAGGGGGGGCCCTCCCGCCCGCAGCCCTCCCCAACCTCCACGGCTGGACCACAGAGTGATGACATCACTTCCCCTCCCCGAGCCTGGTGACTCACGCTCAGGGAACCGCCCCAGGAAGCAGGTAAACACCAGCCTCCCTGGGGAGCACATGGGGGCACAAGCGAGGACCCACGAACAAGGTCGGGGGCAGAGCGAGGAGATCCCAGACTCCGGGCATGTGCTCCTGCCGCTACCTCCGAAGCAGACACCTGGGGAGGTCGCCGCACCTCTGGCTGTCCTCCTACCTGCCTCCAGCAGGTCTGCTCCTTACCCGGGCCCCATCCCCTGTCGCCTGGCACCAGAACTGTGCCCTCGCTTTAGAGCTGCATAAACAGCCCCTGCCCACAAGGAGCCACGTTGGAGCAAACTGGCAGGCGCAGCGGGGAACACCCATTCGCAGTGGGTTACGAGAGTCAAGACACCACCAAGCCGGGCTCCGTGGAGTCCTCCAAAGCTCCCAGCTCCGCAGCCTTCAGCCCAGGCACAGAGAGAACACGGGTAGCCAAGGCTTTCAGTGTGGCTGCAGTCAAGGCAGAGAGATTTTGCAGAGGCAAGAAAAATAAAAGCTCCTCGCTGAGAGCCCAACTTTGCACACTCATCTGGACAGGGCAGCCAGCCAGCTCCCCAGGGTCAAGGCTGTTCCACGGGCCGAGAAACCCCACTTCCCCATCCAACACACCTGGCGCTCAGCCGCAGGTCCAATTTTCAAAGCCACAGGGGAGCTAATGAGTTGAGATCAGCTGCCAGATAGATCCTGGAGCCGCAGCAAGCTGGACTGAAATACAGCCCTGGCGCAGGACAGTCCCAACACCTCCCAGGGCAATAGAGAACGCCTCTAGGGGACGAGGGCTCCCCAAATGAAAATAATAGGTAGCAGGTTTAAAACAAACAAAAGGGCGTTTTTCTTCATGCAGCGCACAGTCAACCTGCGGAACTCCTTGCCAGAGGATGTTAAGACCATGCCTGGTGGTAGCTGGAAAGCAACCCACGGGCAACAGCAAGTTCGCCCCGCAGCTGGCCCGAGGTGACCTTACCTTCTGCCCTTCTCCGGAGTCTCCCAAGAGAGCACATCCAGGAAAGGATACACTTTCACAGCTCCCGATTTGGTGCCGACTGCCATAATTCTCAGCTTGGGGTCGTAGGCCAGGGAGCTCGGCTGGTTGGGGAACCCATGTTCTACCGTCTAGGAGGAAGACGAGAGAAATGAGACAACGTCACCCGTCAGAGTCCAGCGGTGCGAGACGGACTCGTTGTGAGCCCCAAGAGAGGGTCACCCGTGGCCCCACTCAAAACCTCCCGCCGG